GGGGGGGGGGCAGCGGGCAATGGCCCCACCCACTGGGGTTTACACCCTGCTGAGGTATACTGCCTGAAACTCACTAAGTCACTGAGACTAACAATCAGCCTACAGGCACAGGCAGATCTCAGGGTGCTTTGAGTCTTTGCCTGACCTCTTTCTGGGTCCAGGACTAGGAAGAGCAGACTGTGGTGTGCATCTCAGTCCTTTCTACAAGCACCCAGCCCCAGGAGAGGGAGTCACAAGCTATGGATGGCTGATAGCTCAAAAAAGGGTACTCAAGGCCAGTCACAAAGACCATCTGGTATTAGTCTGCACCAGAGACCCTCTGAAGAGGTCCAAAACCAATAAATTCAGTAGCCAGTTTCAGACGACAGAGCAGGGTCCAATAAGTTTCACAAACAGTATATCCACAGGGCAATGTTGGCAGGCTCCAAACCCTGCTGAGGTAAATATAATTTCCTGTAATAATCACCTGCAGAGCAGCCTGCACCCTGTGTTGGGGTTGAGCTTCACTGTCAGCAAGCCTGAGGGGTGAGCCCATGCACGAATTAGCCAATAGTAATCAGGACTCAATTACAATGGGAGGGCCCACACAATGTGCAAGAGAGACATTATTAGAGAATCCAGATCTGGTGATCAGGGAGACTGCAACACTGTGTCCCACAGGTCACCTACTACATAAGGCCACCCTACCAAAACTGAGAGTCATAGAAGATCAACTTAATACATAGAAACAAATTCAAACAGAGAGCCAAAATGGGGAGACAAAGAAACAAGCCCCAAATGAAAGAACAAGAAAATTCTCCAGAGGAAGAGCTAAATGAAATGGAGATAAGCAATTTATCAGATACAGAATTCGGAGTAATGATTATGAGAATGCTTAACAGCATGAAAAAATATAAAGAAACTATGAAAAACAACCAGTTGGAAATAAAGAATGAAAGCAGAAATAAAGAATACACTGAAAGGATTAAACAGCAGATAAGAGAAAGCTGAGGATCAGATCAGCGAATTAGAAGACAGGGTAGAAAAAAACTCAATCAGAGAACCAAAAAATATAAAACAATTAAAATACAGAAGGACAGTTTAAGGGAGCTGAAGGACAAGATGAAAGATAAAACTAACTATATGATAGAAGAACCAAAAGGAAGAGAAAGCTTCCTATCACTACAATAGGGAACCTGTTTAAAGAAATAATGGCAAAAAACCTCCCTAACCTGGTGAAGGAAAAAGTCACACAAGTTTAGGAAGCACAAGGTCCCAAGCAAGAAAACCCCAAAGAGGCCCATGCCCAGACACATAAAATAATTAAAATGCCAAAAATTCAAGACAAAGAGGGAATCTTAAAGGCAGCAAGAGAAAAGCATTTGTTACCTACAAAGGAGCTCCCAGAAGGCTGTCAGCTGACTTTTCAACAGAAACTCTAGAGGGTAGAAGGGAAGATCATGAAGTATTCAAGGTAGTGAAAAGCAAGGATCTGAAAGCAAGACTACTCTATCCAGCAAGTATATAATTCAAAATAGATGGTGAAATAAAGAGCTTCCTAGACACACACACAAAAAAGGCTAAAGGAGTTTATCACTACCAAACCAGCATTGCAAACAATGTTAAAGGGACTGCTGCAATAATAAGAAATAGAGAATCATAGAAAGAATAAAAATGGCAATAAATAAGTACCTATAAATAATAACCTTAAATATAAATGGATTAAACACTCCAATCCAAAGATGAAGGGTAGCTGAATGGATAAGAACATATGATCCATATGTTGTCTACAAGAGACCCACATTAGAACAAAAGACTCACAGAGAATGAGAGTGAGGGAATGAAAAAAATTTCCCATGAAAATGGAAACAAACGAAAAGGGAAAGGTAGCAACACTTATACCTGACAAAATGGACTTCAAAGCAAAGACCACAAGAGATAAAGAATGTCACTATCTAATATTAAAGGGATTGATCCAAGAAGAGGATATAACCCTGGTAAACATCTATGCACCCAACATATAAACTCCTAAATATATATACAAAACTCTTGGAGAACTTTAAGGAAGAGATAGACAGCAACACAGTCATAGGAGGGGACTTTAACACCACACTGACTTCACTGGAGAGACCTTCCAGACAAAAAAACCAACAAGGAAACAGTGGCTCTAAATGACACCCTAGATGAGATGTATTTAATTGACATTTACAGAATATTTCACCCCAACACTGCAGAATATACATTCTTCTCCAGTGCACATGGGAAATTCTCAAAGACAGACCACATGTTAGGACACAAAAGATGTCCCTACTAGTTCAAGAAGACTGAAATCATTTCAAGCACCTCCTCGGATAACAATGACATGGAAGCAGAAATGAACTACAATAGCCCGGCTGGGCGTGGCTCAGCAGTTAAGCCTCGACCTAGGATCCAGGCGATCAGGGTTCGATTCCTGGTCAGGGCACATGCCCGGGTTGCAGGCTGCAGCCGATCAATGACTCCTCATTGATGTTTCTCTCTCTCTCTCTCCCTCTCTCTGAAATCAATAAAGATATATATTAAAAAAAGAAAAGAAATGAACTACAATAAAATCACTCCAAATCATTCAAACACATGGAGGGTAAACAGCCTGTTATTAAACAATGAATGGATTACCAATTAGATCAAGGAAGAAATTAAAAACTTCCTGGAAACAACACAACAACCCTTTATCTATGGGACACAGCAGAAACAGTCCTGAGAGGGAAGTTCCTAGCACTATAAGCCTAACTCAAGAAACAAGGAAAATCTCTAATAAACTATCTAAATCTACAACTAAAAGAATTAGAAACAGAAAAACAAGAAAAGCCCAGAGAAACTAAAAGGAAGGAAATAATAAAGATCAGAGCAGAAACGAATGACATAGAGACTAGAAAAAAAAATACAAAAGATCAATGAAACCAAGAGCTGGTTCTTTGAAAAGATAGACAAGATTCACGAGCTGTGAGGCACAGAGGACTTCCAGTTTCTTGGTCCAATCCATTCTAGAGGCACTTACATTAGTCAGATGTGTCTGGGTCCTTAGAATACATGTTCCCTGCCCTTTTTTTCTTTTCCTTAGGATAGATCAATTAAGTTTCTGAGTTTTTACAACAAAAACACCCAAACCAATACAGATGCTGAAAATAAGGTAAATCACAACCTCCCACTGATAGTAACAGAGAAAAATGGGGTGAGACCAAAACAACTGCTATCCAGTTGGAGATCAGCTTTAACATTTTTCCCAAAAGATAAACCTGGTGAAAGAGAAGAAAAAAGAAAATATTGATGAGCCCTAGCCAATCAAGAAACAAAGAGAAAGGACCCAAATAAATAAAAATATCGGAAATGAAAGAGATGAAATAAAAACCGACACCACAGAAATACAAAGGATTGTAAGAATATATTACAAACAATTATATGTAGGCAAACTGGAAAACCTG